AATTCACAGCAAATGTCGTTTTCAATTAAGTCTTACAGATGTAAAATGATATAAGCTTTTAATGAATACAATAATCTATTTAAAAAATAACAGTTTAAAGAGGTTTCATTTTAAAACTTCAAAACGGAGCATCGGGAGCTTGCGTGGATGCGTCGTTCGTGTGCAATTTTTTTCGTGACTTTCCTGGCCGAAAGCCGTAAATGGTTGAGGGGCACCGCAGGCCGTCCGGCTTGCTTCAACCCATGGTTGTGAACATCCAGACGTTAATCGGCAAGGACCATTTCTTGTCCAAGTTCGCCAACATATAAGACATGAAGCAAAATTATGAGTGTTGTTGTGGAGATGTGCTCTGCCTTGTAACCGAATACAAATCTGTACCAAAAATGCATTTCAAATATGCTCTTAAAATTACCTCCTTGCGATGAAGCAGATCAGCAGACACGACATCTTTCATTTATCGATCTCTCCACGAAACAAAGGAATGTTTTACACAAACTAGAACTAGCACAGACTTCTGGTAGTGCACCATTGATTCAGTGCAAGCCACCTGTGCACCCCGATTGGTGCAGAGTCTCAACAACAGCCGGGCATGCTTCAACCGATAGTTACGGACATCCAGACGTTAATCAGCAAGGAGCATTTCTAGTCCGAGTTAGACAAAATCTACATCAACACGTAATGCAAAATTATAATTCGTCTTGTAGAGAATGTATCTCCTCTACATGTAACTTTTGAGTGGTATGCCTTGTAACTGATGAACGATCCAAATGTGCTCCCTATTTCAAAGACAATGAGATGCTGCAGAGGGAGATGCTTCCTGAAAACACTAAAGTACCCTTTGACCTGTATCACAAGAACAAGGAGTCTCACCTGATCTGTACAGGTTACTTGCAAAACACACACTTTATCCTAACATCAGTTATTCAATGTTTGACCCTTAAAGACAAAATGTTACATGTACGCACACAATCAGAGAAGTATTCATTTTAAATTATTGACAATCATTTTTACAAAGTTAAATTACTGCACTGAAATATGCTGCATCAGGTTACATCGTATTAACAAGATAAACAAAGAACAGTCTGCTTAACAGTGTATATACAACGTACTATTGCGCCATTCAAAACAAGTAGGCCATTGCATGTTTAATGTAGCAAATTCTAAAAACATTATCTACAAACTCCACAACCAAGATGCCACATCAACCATCGCCCCCTACTGACAGGCTCTTGTCCACATGTAGGCCCGTGCAGGGTGTTGTATATGTTGTATTTATGAAATTTTGATAAAAATTATAAAAATTAATAATTTTCCGAAAAATGCGCAAATCTCATTATGTTAATGTGTAATTATATGCATAAATTATGATAATCACGGAGATAATCGTAGTAATTTATGCAGATGCTTGCGATTATGTTAATGTGTGCAGTTATGATAATTAGGCTTAATTTCGTTTATCCAGAGTTGTATCAATCAGGATAACACGATTATCATTGATTAAACATTTACCGACTATCCTAGTGTGTGTTATGTTATTTTTAGGTCTCCAGTTTCATATCTCATCACAGGCTACAGTTCTCAAGAATAAGACAGTTTTGCATGGACTTGGAAGGAACACTCGATATGCTTCTGTGATAAAATGTTTTATTCTAACAAGCATGTGACATTCTAGCATGCAGGTCAAACATGCGTCAATAATTCATGAGCAAGATTATGCAATTAACGAAAATGGATGACTAAAACTCTTATTCATTTGCGAGATTATGCATTTAACTAAAATGAATAACTAAAAACACTTATGCATTTGCGAGATTATGCATTTAACTAAAATGAATGACTAAAAACACTTATGCATTTGCGAGATTATGTATTTAACTAAAATGAATGACTAAAAACACTTATGCATTTGCGAGATTATGCATTTAACTAAAATGAATGACTAAAAACACTTATGCATTTGCGAGATTATGCATTTAACTAAAATGAATGACTAAAACACTTATGCATTTGCGAGATTACACAATTACGAAATTGAATGACTAACTCTTCTAACAACCGTAATTCTACTTTCCCACCAGACATCTCAGTAGTTCCCCCATATATCGAGCACAACCGGCGACTGGCGGAGTTTAAAACAGACATGCGACGATTTGTATGAAGGCAATAAAAGCACTTATTATACCCCGAAGCGAAGCATACTTCAATCGATTCATTGGCAAGATTATATCTGTTAACGGAATGTTGGAAACATTGGTGGGTGAGGGCGTGTGTGTTGGTGGGAGAGCGAATCTGGCTCTGTTTTGATTAATTCTTCGGCGAGACTCTATGACAAAGAAACCGGTTTGACAAGATATTATCTGTGCTTCCTTGAGTTTGTGTGTGTGGAAGCGATACGACCCTGTTCGGAGATTTCCTCACAGCCCGTGCGGATTGCAGACGCGACTTTCTCCGCAGGGAGTTGAGCGGCGGCGCTTGGCGGTCCTCGGTAGCTGACGGCGCGGTGGCGCGCTCTCGGAAGACTTTGACTCTCTTTCTCCACTGCGGGAAGTCGGTTTTGGTTGATGCTGGTTGATCTGGGTGTGCGTATTAAACACGCGGCACATTCGATGGTGCTGTCCTCCTCACAGCCGTTCGATCAGGCTTTCTCCACTGCTTCGCGCTCTCTGCTTTGCTCGCTTGGCGATCTCCGCCTTTCCTGCGGGTTGTTCGCTGGTCGTCACTCTGACGAGGAGTGATGCTTCGTTCATTGCAGGGTGGACGTTGGTGTCTTTGTTGGCTCGGGAGTGGTAGCTGGAGTCTCCGTCAGCTTCACTCGCAGCTCGGCGACTCAGGGTACGATTCTTCTCAGGTGGTGCAGACCTCGGCTTGTTGCTGCACGTCGCTAACCCGCGAACCTCGTCATTCTGGATGACGGAAGAGCTTCTTCGTTGTCGGCGTTGAGATGAGATGGGCTGTAGCCCTGGAGATTTCTGGTGGGGGCCTTAGCCCGGAGACGAGATGAGATGGAGGCCGAAGCCCCGTGGAGATCGGTGATGGGGCCGAAACCCTGAAGATCTGTGGTGGGGCCAGAGCCCTGACGATCTGCTTTGAATGCATTTTGCCTCTGCTTATATCGGGAAAATCCACTCAGTTTTTCCGAGTTTGTTCAAAGGCTGTGTCATAAAACATTCCTGTGAGGGTGAACACATCTGCGTCCGTGTGTGTCCATCCGTGTGTTTATTAGCTTTGAAGACACAGCTGTGTAATTATTCTGGAAGGAGGGGTGGGGGCCTCGCGACGGCGCCACCTAAGTTATCCATTAACCAGACCGACAATCCGCGTTCGCACCAAGTTATAAATCATACTCCATGTCTTTGATTATGAATAATATTGTCGCGAAAACCTACACGTTAAGCGAGCTTAATGATCCCCTCCCTTGCTCTGGGCGTTATATCTTTTGTCTCACACAGCTTAAGTTGTTCTTGGTTTGGAAGTTGAAATGCGACCCATTTTCTGCTTAGTTCCATTGTGATTTGATTGCAAGCGACCCAAGTTATGCCATAACCGTGTTCACGGTATTTCATCGTGACCTGATCTTCCATGGAAATGTTATTTGCTCGCGTGTGCAAATCCTGCTGTCCGTGTTGCGGGGAGACAAAGATGGCTGCGAGTTGCTCGCTTTTCATGGGGTGTTGTGTTTGGTTAATTATGAGACTTCTCCACCCTTAATTCTCCTAGGAGATCCACTTTAATTCCCTATTTATTATTTGACTTCTTGTGATTATTTAATCTGATATCCCGGGCTAGGGATTTTTGTTTTGGAGCGACCCTGATGCCATAATTATTCTTTGATGCTTCGGCCCGGCCGCGTAGAAACTACCAAGTGTACATAATGTCCGTATGAAATTAATACATGAGGATTCAAACCCGTCTGTGTTTTTTGTTGTTGTCGATGCTATTTTCTTTGTTAAGAATATAATTATCTTTCTCCGTGGTGCCTGGTTTTTTTGTAAGGCTTTTTAACGAAAGGATGTCATCCTAACCCCCGCCTGCAAATTCACCCCTCCCTTGTTCCTCTTGTGTGAAATTAGGGGAGTTTTTATGACATTGATTGCCCTCTTTCATGCCCTCAAGCCCTTGAGGCGAGGTGTGCGCGCATCTGTTGAAGTGGGGGAGCGGGTTTGTTTCCAAGCTGCCCCGTTTCTATTAAAAAAAAATTATATATGTTGGCAGAATAATTCTTTAAAAAAATAAAATTAAAAAGGGGTTATAGACACAACAAGGGCCACCACCTTGTGCCACACAGGGGCAGCTGCTACTTGGGGATGTTTCGAGTGTTTGAAACGAGATACGATACAAAACTCCGAGTTGTCGAGGCGATTAAGCAAGCACGATATAAATGCAATTCATAACATAGTGAATGCGTGGGAGCTTTATGGCTCCCGCTCCTGGTTAGAGATCAACGCAACCCACAGGTCCACAAAGACTGGCTCTTACCCTGCAGGTTGAACCTAGGAATTGAGTGTTCAACTTCACATTCGTCATTTAAGGCCTGTGACAAAGGTGCAGCTATTGGAGCAATATCGTCTCTGGCTTACACATCTACCGGGTCTCCATTTGACTTTGTATTGTCTCGGAGGAAGTCTACCCACACCTCCACTTCCACAAACTGCTGGGAGTTGCCTCGCTCTGCTTCACAGTCAAAATTCTCCTCCTGCTTCACGTTGCCTCCATCGATGTGGAGGTCAGATTTTGGAGTTGACTCTTCATCTTCACATTTTACCTTCACTTCTTCGCTCTTCACCATCACTTCTTCACATTTCACCTTCACCTCTTCATATTTCACCTTGACACCTTTAAAAGCGTCCAAGCTGGGATTTTCTTCCGGTTCTTGTTTCATGAGGGATGGGCTCATTACGGCACTTTGACTTTCACAAGCTGATTTCAGACTCCACTCCTGGTGGATTTTCTGATACTTGTGTGTTCTCTGATGTACATGAAGATGTGATGACTGTGCAAACGCCTTCCTGCACGGAGTGCACCTGAAGGGTTTCTCTCCCGTGTGTGTTCTCTGGTGTGCTACAAGAGCAGATGACATTACAAACGCCTTCCCACACACACTGCACTTGAAGGGTTTCTCTCCCGAGTGTGTTCTCTGGTGTGCTACAAGAGCAGATGACTGTGCAAATGCCTTCCCACACACACTGCATTTGAAGGGGTTTTCTCCCGTGTGTGTTCTCTTGTGTGTTGCAAGAGTAGATGAAAGTGCAAACGCCTTCCCACACACACTGCACTTGAAGGGTTTCTCTCCCGTGTGTGTTCTCTGGTGTTTTAAACGATGAGATGAATCTGAAAACGCCTTCCCACACACACTGCACTTGAAGGGTTTTTCTCCCGTGTGTGTTCTCTGGTGTGTTACAAGAGTATATAATTGTGCAAACGCCTGCTCACACACACGGCACTTGAAGGGTTTTTCTCCCGTGTGTGTTCTCTGGTGTTTTACAAGAGTAGATGACTTTGTAAACGCCTTCCCACACACACTGCACTTGAAGGGTTTCTCTCCCGTGTGTGTTCTCTGGTGTTCTACAAGAACAAATGACTGTGCAAACGCCTTCCCACACACACTGCACTTGAAGGGTTTTTCTCCCGTGTGTGTTCTCTGGTGTGTTGCAAGAGTAGATGAAAGTGCAAACGCCTTCCCACATACACTGCACTTGAAGGGTTTCTCTCCCGTGTGTGTTCTCTGGTGTTTTACAAGAGTAGATGAATCTGAAAACGCCTTCCCACACACACTGCACTTGCAGGGTTTCTCTCCCGTGTGTGTTCTCTGGTGTTCTACAAGAGTAGATGACTTTGCAAACGCCTTCCCACACACACTGCACTTGAAGGGGTTCTCTCCCGTGTGTGTTCTCTGGTGTGCTACAAGAGCAGATGACTTAGCAAACGCCTTCCCACATACACTGCACTTGAAGGGTTTCTCTCCCGTGTGTGTTCTCTGGTGTGCTACAAGAGTAGATGAATCTGAAAACGCCTTCCCACACACACTGCACTTGCAGGGTTTCTCTCCCGTGTGTGTTCTCTGGTGTGGTACAAGAGCAGATGACTTTGCAAACGCCTTCCCACACACACTGCACTTGAAGGGTTTCTCTCCCGTGTGTGTTCTCTGGTGTGCTACAAGAGCAGATGACATTGCAAACGCCTTCCCACACACACTGCACTTGAAGGGTTTCTCTCCCGAGTGTGTTCTCTGGTGTGCTACAAGAGCAGATAACTGTGAAAATGCCTTCCCACACACACTGCATTTGAAGGGTTTTTCTCCCGTGTGTGTTCTCTTGTGTGTTGCAAGAGTAGATGAAAGTGCAAACGCCTTCCCACACACACTGCACTTGAAGGGTTTCTCTCCCGTGTGTGTTCTCTGGTGTGCTACAAGAGCAGATGACATTGCAAACGCCTTCCCACACACACTGCACTTGAACGGTTTCTCTCCCGAGTGTGTTCTCTGGTGTGTTACAAGAGTATATAATTGTGCAAACGCCTTCCCACACACACTGCACTTGAAGGGTTTCTCTCCCGTGTGTGTTCTCTGGTGTTTTACAAGAGTAGATGACTTTGCAAACGCCTTCCCACACACACTGCACTTGAAGGGTTTTTCTCCCGTGTGTGTTCTCTGGTGTGTTGCAAGAGTAGATGAAAGTGCAAACGCCTTCCCACATACACTGCACTTGAAGGGTTTCTCTCCCGTGTGTGTTCTCTGGTGTCTTACAAGAGTAGATGAATCTGAAAACGCCTTCCCACACACACTGCACTTGAAGGGTTTCTCTCCCAGGCGAGTTCTCTGGTGCTGTGTCAAATGTTCAGGACAATTCGTGCTGTATGAACACTGGTCGCATTGTTGCCTTGTCGCACCGAGCTGCGCCGAGTGCCTTTGCTCCATCAGACCAATTCTGCAGAGGAAGCTACAGAGGAAGCGTCAGTTGCAGAGAGAAAAAAAAATATCTACACGTCAGTAGAGGCACAGATGAATACATATACACAGTCACACGTGACTTACACGTCTATACTTATTCATATATTCATGATATAGTGAAAAAGTTTCCCAAATTCATCACGCGGGCTGTTATGGCACACAATGAGAGGGCAAATGGTCACAAATTTCGGCTGTCTGGCTACAAAAGGAATATTTATGAAAGCTAAATTCAGTTGACATAGCAAAAGGTGTTGAAAATAATACTATTTGTGTTATGCAGAAATTCATAAATTCACGTTCAATCGCAACTTAGAGGTGTGTTGTATATATAGACCTTTTCCAAAAATATATATTAAGAATAATTCGACCCATTTTTTTCCTTAAATAATTAATAAATGAAACCAACACTCAACTCCGCTATCCCTCAAGCTACACCAAGCATCTGGAGGTCATTAAACAACAAACTTCGGGGCAAAGAGGGGTTCGCGACTATCTGGAAATCTCCAGGCTGGCAGATGACCATATGACATGACCTCCCCGGACGTTTTGGACAGTTCACAAACAAATCTTCAGAGCACATAGCAGAGACAAACGGACGTTACAACTCGCATTTTCTTTAACGGTAAAAGTTTGAAACTCGTCAAAAAGAACAAATCGACGTTATAGACTGCAGTCTATACGAGCGGCTTTATACTGGTAGGAACGAAGTGGACCAGACACCAATAGATTATATCGTCCGTCCGTGTAGCAACATCGCCCCCTACTGCAAACACTTGGCATGACCCTACAAAAACCTTTAGACTGAGTGACGCTATCCTGGCTAAACAAGTGTAACATTCCCTTATAATTCCCTCAGATAGCTTTTAATTAAAACATTTAAATTAATGAGGCTTTCCTGGCTAAACACGTGTAACATTCCCTTATAATTCCCTGAGATAGCTTTTAATTAAAACTTTGAAATTAAATAAAAAACTCACAGCGCCCTAAAGCCTACAGCTAGGCCTAAAGCCTAAAACTAGGCCTGAAACTCTCCCTTCGTATCGTACGCCCACGTGTGTGAAAGGGAGTTAATGTTTCACAATGTTACATTCCCTGATTTTTTGAAATAGAAACATTTAAATTTCAAGCTTTTACATTAATAATTAAAACATTTAAATTAAATATTAACTCACAGCGACCTAAAGCCTACAGCTAGGCCTAAAGCCTAGAAATAGGCCTCAAAGTCTCCCTTCGTATCGTCCGATTAGGCGTAACAACATCGCCCCCTACTGCAAGTGTAATAATACATTATGTTTATATTCTTTGGTTATTCGTTCCTACCAGCCCACCCCGCAGGGTCCTGTTTATTATTTATTTTATTTCACCCTTATTCAACTCGTATATCATTTTGTATTGTATATTTCTATCCATGTAACTTCACCAAGAGAACCAAGGAATGTGCATTCTGGTAGACAAGAAAGTGAGCGCTTGGTTATATCTCCAGCCTCGGGATATCAAAATATAATTCAAAATAAAACACCGATCCCTGGTGACACAGACTTACAACAAAGCTTGGCAAAACCCTCGGAATAATGGTAACAACGAGGGGCATTACGAATCTTGGTTAAACATGAACCAAATAATAACCACGAGATATTAGACCCGGGGTAAGTCATAAGAGGTACAAGAAATAGGTCCAACACACACAAGACCAGATAATATGTATTCCATTGAATCAAAGCCTCCCCGGCCACCTTTGTCTTCCAACAATTTGACACAAACACATGGCAGCCACAATTACGTATGAAGGGTGTCTGGCCTCGAGCTAACAAACACAACGAAGAGGGGGGGATGCCAACAAGCATAAACTTAGACATAAAACAGCCCGTCCGGGGTCATCAAGAGAAGGGGGGGGGGGGAGGACATTCAGGCGCGGCCGCGGAGAGAGGACGGTGACAGAGGGCATCTGTTTTTTTTCTCTCGCAAAAGACGCACAGAGAGGGGAGGGAATTTCAGATATAACCAACGACACAGATCATGCAATTCAGTCTTGCAAAGGGGCAAACTCCGGGGCATGGCCTCGAGATCAACCATGGGTGTCGTGTCTCGTGGAGCGAAGGGACGATGTGTTGTTAAGAGCTGCGTTCGGCATGAACTGACAGAGTATCGCTGAAAGTTTATTCTACATTCATCCTGATGTTTTGAGTCGCTTGTGGAATCGAGGGTTTGCGATAAGTTGTATTGTACCAAGCTATCAGAGTTGTGTAAGAGGTGTGCTAATACAATTTACAAGTTTTGAGAGTAAGTGATCCAGCCAGCGACGAGCAGCTCACAGCAGCAGCCCTCTTGGAAGAAGGGTGGAGAGCAGGAAAGTTGAGCAACGACAAGGCGAAGCCCCGAAGTGAGGGCGGGAGAGGTAACACAATGCCAGTGCAAAACTGGCAGCTGCACGCCAAGGGCGAAAGCAAGGAGAGAGAAAGGAGAGAGCACGGAGCAGTGGAAAGAGCCTGAGCCAGCGCAAGCCCTGAAGTAAGGGCGGGTGTCCGTGTGAAGCTGGCAGCTGCACGATCAAGGAGAGAGGACGGAGCAGTAGAAAGAGCCTGACCAGCCGCCCGTGAGCAAGAGTATCAGCGCCAGCGAGAGTGCCGTGGGTTCGACCCACACACACACTGACCAGCACCAGCTGGGAACCAATGCTAGAGTGAGGAGCGGCGACCAGCAGACAAGCTGCGCGCGCTATCTGACGACGGAATCATCGCGCACCGCCGACGGCGAGCATCATGCCAACTCAACCAGCAGTAGAGAGAGCTGCAACGCCAAGAGGAAGAGTGCCGTGTGTTTAATACACACACACGTACACACACACACACACGTACACACAGCTACACACACACGTACACACAGCTACACACACACACGTACAGTCAGCTACACACACACACGTACACACAGCTACACACACACACGTACACACAGCTACACACACACGTACACTCAGCTACACACACGTACACACAGCTACACACACACGTACACTCAGCTACACACACGCACACGTACACTCAGCTACACATACACACACGTACACACAGCCACACACACACGTACACACAGCTACACACACACGTACACACAGCTACACACACGTACACACACACGTACACTCAGCTACACACACGCACACGTACACTCAGCTACACATACACACACGTACACACAGCCACACACACGTACACACAGCTACACACACACGTACACACACACGTACACACAGCTACACATACACGTACACACAGCTACACACACGTACACTCAGCTACACACACACACACGTACACTCAGCTACACACACACGTACACACAGCTACACACACACACGTACAGTCAGCTACACACACACAGCTACACACACACACACACACGTACACACAGCTACACACACACGTACACTCAGCTACACACACACACACGTACACACAGCTACACACACGTACACTCAGCTACACACACACACGTACACACAGCTACACACACACGTACACTCAGCTACACACACGCACACTCAGCTACACACACGCACATGTACACACAGCTACACACACACGTACACACAGCTACACACACACGTACACACAGCTACACACACACGTACACACAGCTACACACACGTACACACAGCTACACACACGTACACACAGCTACACACACACACGTACACACAGCTACACACACACGTACACACAGCTACACACACACACGTACACACAGCTACACACACACACGTACACACAGCTACACACACACACACGTACACACAGCTACACACACACACACGTACACACAGCTACACACACACACGTACACACAGCTACACACACACGTACACACAGCTACACACACACACACACGTACACACAGCTACACACACGCACACACAGCTACACACACACACGCACACACAGCTACACACACACACGTACACACAGCTACACACACACACGTACACACAGCTACACACACACGTACACACAGCTACACACACACGTACACACAGCTACACACACACGTACACACAGCTACACACACACGTACACTCAGCTACACACACGCACATGTACACACAGCTACACACACACGTACACACAGCTACACACACACGTACACACAGCTACACACACACGTACACACAGCTACACACACGTACACACAGCTACACACACGTACACACAGCTACACACACGTACACACAGCTACACACACACACGTACACACAGCTACACACACACGTACACACAGCTACACACACACACGTACACACAGCTACACACACACACGTACACACAGCTACACACACACACACGTACACACAGCTACACACACACGTACACACAGCTACACACACACACACACGTACACACAGCTACACACACGCACACTGCCACACAGCTACACACACACACGCACACACAGCTACACACACACACGTACACACAGCTACACACACACACGTACACACAGCTACACACACACGTACACACAGCTACACACACACGTACACACAGCTACACACACACGTACACACAGCTACACACAGCTACACACACACACAGCTACACACACACACACACACGTACACACACACACGTACACACAGCTACACACACACACGTACACACAGCTACACACACACAGCTACACACACGCACACGTACACACAGCTACACACACGCACACGTACACACAGCTACACACACACGTACACACAGCTACACACACACACGCCGTCCCAGCGGCCCTGCTGGGAATCCGAGGTATTTTCAGCACAAGGAACGCCGTACCGCGTAATCCGCCAAGTCAACAAGTGGCAAAGAAGACACACGCACACAACACGCATATCGGGACGAATAAGATGAAAAACATTTACTGCCCATTGAGTTACGTGGATACGGTCGTTCAGAAGTATTTTAGTCATTCCTTTTCGTTGATTGCATAATCTTGCCAATGAATTAATTGACGTATACTTTTGCTTTCGGGAAATGTTTCTTTATTGCCGTTCGTATGAATATCGTCGCATGCATGTTTAAGGACGTTTTCCTATCGCCGTATATGCTCGCGTTACTCTGAGGAATTAATTGAATGTTCTGTTACCCAGTAAACAACGTAATCATTGAGGGTTAAATGTACGGATCAATGAGAACATCTCCAGGGGTACTGTGTTGACAATTCCAAGCATAAGAGTTCGAATATTAGAGTTTTATGTTTTTGGTTAGAAATTTAAATTGCTTAACACAAAAGAGTCCGAGTGGTGCCTTCCTAAGTTCATGCGTAATAATCTCAATTATGAGAACTGTATCCTGCGGTGAGATTTGAATTTGGAGACCTGACATAAAACACGAAGACACAATCAGTAAATGTTAAAACGAGACTAATTGTATTATCCCGAGTGATAATACGACCCTAGGCAACGAAGATAAGCATAATTATCATAACTGCATACATTAGCATAATTGCATACAGTTGCATGACTTAATAAGATCACCTCCCTAATTAGCATAATTTCGGATAATTACACATTTTTCCTATTTACATTTAATTTGTATTCTTTTTAATTAATTTTTCAAGGCCCAACATATACAACAGGTGTGAAGCCAGCCAGGCTCACGATGTCCTTGAATGCTGGGATGAACAGATCTGACTTCAGCTGCATGTGTGTGCTGTGTTAACTTCTTGACTGTTTCGATTCTTACAAAGAGCTCCAGAGGAAAACAAAAAAAAACAACAGCTTTGATATAACCTCCCTGTTCAATAGAGTTAAAAGACTTTACTGCAAACACAAACTTTACACTGTCACACACTGGCATGGTTAACAGGTGGTGGTGTATTAATGCTTCCTCACTCCACCTAGAAATTCATTGGGGATCAATCAACACCCCCGAGGCTGCGAGTCTCTCTCTCGCTCCCCGTGGTGAGATGTTAACTACCTCTCCTGACATACAGGAAGTCGTGGGTTCGATCCCGACCCTAACGCCTGCTGTATATTTGGAGTTTGCGTCTCTCTCTCTCTCCCCGTGGTCGCGTAGATTTCCCTCCGGATCCCCCGGTTATCCCCACTCCACATGCAGAGTGAACACCGCCACGCATCTAGAATGAACACCGCCACGCGTCCAGAGTGAACACCGCCACGCGTCTAGAGCGAACACCGCCACGCGTCTAGAGTGAACACCGCCACGCGTCCAGAGTGAACACCGCCACGTGTCTAGAGTGAACACCACCACGCTGTTGACGAGCCTCACCTTGTTGTTATTGTTGTTGTGGGCAGGTCGCTTCTGAAAACAAGAGCAGTACAGCAACTCAAGCGGGCGTGGCCTGGTAAAAAATGAAAAAAAAACTGTGTGAATATTTAAAACAAAACAAGTTACAAAGTAGCGAGCCAGGTGAAGGTTCTTTCGGTAAAGTCATGTAGAATAAATAAATACATTATATAATAGCATACGACGTTTCAACTGCAACACAAGCAATCATCAGGTACAAATGAAAGAGAAAAAAAACCTATTAAACTTAGAGTCAGCTAACATAACAGTCAACACCCTACCTGGTTGATAACGTTCTTCCAAAGATTGCTCAATTTGAGAGAAAGACACGGAGACACATAGACAGACACATAAGCAGAGAGATGACACAAAGACACACAGAGAAAGACACATAGACACACAAAGAGAGATGACACACAGAGAGAGACACACACACATAGACACACAGAGAGAGACACACATAGGCACACAGAGAGAGACACACATATAGACACACAGAGAGAGATGACACAGAGAGAGACATACATAGGCACACAGAGAAACAACGCCTCTGTGTCGAGGCCTTAAATAGAGAGAGAGGGGGGGTAGAGAACTTAGCATGTCAATGCAAGGCCGTAGCCATGGAGTCAACATTGGGGGGAACCAAATCTTCCAGGGGGTCTGGGGCCCCCACTAGAAAAATATCTAAATTAAAAAAAACTCTTTTCCTGCCATTTCCTCCCTAAAATATATATTTAAAAATTCACTAACACATGGGATGGATTTTTTTTTATTTGATACAATAATGTCTCATAGTGTATTGTATTACATTGCTGTTTTTTCTTTGGTACCTTTTCTTGTTTCATAGCATGTATTGGCAGAGATTAGGGATTCATGAAGTACAACGCAATCATATGAACAGAAATCTATGCATTGTTATATGAAGACAAGTTCAGATTTTGTGGCCAAGGTTTAGCAAATTGTTGTTTTTATTAACATAGCATCGCAATTATTATTTACAAATATTTTTGATAGCAATATATTGGGGGGGGGGGGACATTTTGAGCATATTTGATTATAGTTATTATAACATATTATAATAATTATAACATATTCTAATTATTTTAACATATTGTAGTTATTATATATTATAATTATTATAACATTATAATTACGGCTTTGTGTCAATTAGAGCTTTGGAGGTTTGGTGACTGCACTTAATCAAACAAACTTAATACAATTAGAAATGTAATGCAATGCAACACAGAGAGTCGGTCAACACACAACTAACGCATCGCCTGGCTGATTGCGTTCTTCCACAGATTGATCAACTAAGCGAGAGAATTGAAGCAAACGCCATCAGGCGAGGGCAGGAGGCAAGGCCCTGCTTTGTAAAGTTACACCCGGACATCGCTTCCATGCTCGCTGCTACTCAATTGACATCCCTACGAGAGAGAGAGCGAGGCTCTACCTCAGTACACAACAACCACCACCACAACCACCACAGCCGCGATGAGAATTTCTCACCGTGGATTTCAGTTCCCGCGCGGAGCGGCAACTTTCCGTTGCCTCGTGACGTCACGCGGTAGCAGGAGGTGACATTACGTCACTTGCGTGGTAAAAGACACTCCCCTCCCACAATGAGCGGCTCTGTAACTTAGATCAATTATGTTAATGAGCCTGGCCCAAACGTGGAGGGATGGGCCGTGGGTGCCGAACCGGTCACAACGAACTCGTGACGTCTTTCACAAATAAATTATGTTAATGAGTCACCAGTCACTGGGTGTGGCTTTGCCCAAATAAGGATAGTACTTGAACAGATAACGAAAAAGACCCCAGGCAGAGGTGACGTCACGCTCAAGGGCGCGTTGGGCGGGGTGAATACCTTGGTGACATGACGTCACTAGCGAGGAACACCTCCCGCTGGCGTTGCACGCCGATGAGGTAATTGCTGAGTGGTGACGTCACCGAGCGGGGTTGGAGTTTAAGTTGATTTAGATTAATTTTCCATTACTCCCTCCCTTGAACAGAGACCCCTTGGGAGTGTGAGCTCAGCAACAACAATGTGGACATTATTGTATGTGTGTGTACGCACTGTGTGTGTGTACACTGTGCGTGTGTGTGTACACACACGCACTGTGTGTGTGTGTACGCACTGTGCGTGTGTACGTACAGTGTGTGTGTGTACACTGTGCGTGTGTACATTGTGTGTACACTGTGTGTGTGTGTACACTGTGTGTGTACACTGTGTGTGTGTTTGTACGCACTGTGTGTGTACGTACACACTGTGTGTATACAGTGTGTGTGTGTACACTGTGTGTGTGTGTACACTGTGTGTGTGTGTACACTGTGTGTGTTTGTACGCACTGTGTGTGTACGTACACAGTGTGTATACAGTGTGTGTGTGTACACTGTGTGTGTGTGTGTGCACTGTGTGTGTGTGTACACTGTGGGGGGCACAGTCATCTCAGTCAGTCGACCAATGGCATCTTTTCACCAATTTATTTTCCAACTTTTTCATTTTATTTATTTTATATATTATTGTTCGTTTTCTATATGCGTAACTTTACCAAAAGAACCAATACTATGGTAGCGCATTCTCTGTTTCTTTCAGAGGTTCAAGGTTTAAATCCGACAGGCACACCTGGCTACCCCAGTAACATTAGCAAAATATGCGCAGTCTGCTTAACGGCAGATGTAAAACAAAGCGTCGTGTCATTCACAACGCACAAATGCATGTTGGTGTCACGGTCAACATTGGGGTAATGCCAAACATTATCCAGAAACTACACCATGGAGATGGCACGTCAATGATCGCCCCCTACCGACAGACTCGTGTCCACGTGCAGGCCGGTGCAGGGCCACCACCTTGTGCCACATGTGGTGCCACAACGACGGGGCCGCTCTGCCGAACCAGGGAGCCGCCCGGCTTCCCCCACCGCACTGCCCCCCATCACCCGCCCCACATAAGCACACATCCGCACGCATCCCCCCCCCCCCCCCCATAGAGCTGGAAGGGAAGGTCACCTGATCGACCGGTTTTTATCCGAGAGACCCTTATCGGGATTAATTCTCACGGTTTCCGGCGATCAGGGAATTGGATGACCTCCCCGTGCTACGTGGCACCGCGGCGCTGCGGCCGGCCTTAATATGGTGAGGTCGCGGCGTGGGGCATTCGGCCACCGCGGTTGAGGCGCATTTCCCCCCACACACACCCCCACGAGTCGACGGGGCAAGCAGGGGAGGCACGGGACAGCATGAATAGCGGGCTCACAGGGGCTGTTGCGCATAGTCATGGAGGGTTGGGATAATTGCGCTTGAGCGCGCAGGCCCCATTGTTAGGGAGGGTAAGGGAGTAATTAGGATTTACGCCTTGCACGCAGCACACTGATTAGCATATCAACAGCGCCCGGGAACCGCCGTGCGCGGGCTTGGGGTGCACGAGCCCATTGTTCAGCGCAGCATCCCCTTTGAGGTAGGGAGGATAAATAGAGGAGCGGAGAGGGGAAATCGCCCCTTCTCTCCAGGCCAGCGGACCAGCAGGAGTTCCAGCCAGCGACCCGGACGTCCGTGCGACGCATCGAGGTACGCTGTTAGCGCAGAAAGCAGCGAACCTCCGCGGGCACCAAACAGTGAGTGGGGAGGTGAAGTAGGGTATCGTAAGCCGATAAATAGGGAATAGGTACAGGTTTAGTGGAATAGGCCAGCCTCGTCGACTCACTGATTCAACATCAATTCGCAGGTGGCATATAATAAATCATTAATAGCGAAGCGTGGTCTCGCGTGATCTTGTCGTGCAGTGTGAGCGTGTGGGTGCGCTGTGTGCACAGTGGTTCGCCACGTGAGTGAGCGCTGCGCGGAGCTGAGCGCGCGGGTTGCGCGTGGGTACGCAGTGATTCTGTAGTGCTGCGGCTCGCCTCGGGGGAGCGCTGCGCAGAGCGGTGCGAGAGTGGGTGTCGCGTGTGTTCACTCCGTGTGTGATACAGGTGCGCGAGTATAACGTGAGTTGAGTTGGAGTGCGCGGAGCGGCGTGTGTGTGGGCGTGCGTGCGTTCGCTCCGCGTGGGTTGCAGGCGCGCGATTAGGAAAGGGAAGTATCGTAGTAGAGAGGGGCAGAATACTAATCGGTGATTAACCATGCCCATTACGTGGACCCGCGGTGGAGGGGAATCCGCGGGCGACGGCTCCCACACCATAGGTGAGGAACTTAGCAGCGGTTCGCTTAGCAGCGGGGGGGCGATTGATGATGCTAGCCCGGCCGTTAGCATTATCGAGGGAGGGATCTCGGGGGCTAGCGACCCCCACAAATTGGTGTCGGAAGCGGTACGGACCCCCGCGTTACCTCACGCTAAAATAAGACTAATATTTACCGGCCGGGGGGCCCCTTCGTGGAAGGCATTCGCCCGCAATCTCTTAGGGGCCAAGGAAATTAATGGATGGACGGACGCGCAGGCAGTACGTCAACTTAATATGAATCTTGATGGGCGGGCAGCCGATTTTGTAGAAGCGTTACCCGCGAGCGCACAGACACAGCTAGAGGAGCTGATGCGCCGACTCGATCAGCGTTTTGGCACGCGTGACGAGGAGGAAGCAAAATCGGCCTTAGAGGCGCGCCGTCGCCAACCTGGCGAAGATCTACGTGATTACGCCGAGGATGTGCGCGAGTTAACAAAGATCGCACGCCCGGGGTACGCAACTGATGTTATTGAGGAACTGGCCGCCGAGAAAATCCAGCGGTACCTGTCTCGCACGGCGTGGTGGCAGCCAGACATGAGCTGCCCACGTCTTCCCTTTAACACCCTTGTCGAGCGCGCACGTAAGTGTGAAAGAATTCACAGCGAACGCGCGCAGCTCCGGGGGCTGGGACGAGAACGCGCCATTGCGAGCCTGCTCTCGGAAGACGAGGAGGAGGAACAGGAGCTCGCGAGGACGGTAAGGGGCCGGGAAAGAGAGCCTCCAGTGTCCCGCGAGACAACCCCGGGATGGGTAGCCGGGTTACAGGCTGGCATGGGAGATATGATAACCCAAGTAGACGATAAAATGAGCCGAAATATGGCCAAGCTACAGTCTACCATTGAGACTGAGATGGGGGAACTACGCTCGACCGTAGGGGGGCTGGCCGGGAGGGTGTCCCAATTAGAGTCCGATTTGGGACAACTGCGTACTGGGGGAGGGTGAGGGAGCGGACAGGGGACCCGCTACGGAACCGCCCCCCCTCCCCGGGCATGTTATATGTGCGATCGCCGAGGGAATCTAGTGAGGGATTGTCCGGAAATCACCCGAGCTAGACAGACGCGGGGGTTAAACTCCAACGCCCCCTAGAGAGCGGACCAACTAGGGGTGCAATCGACGCGGTCCCGATACAAATAGACGATAATGAGAATAATGGCGAGCGAGTGATCTCCACACAGGTTCCAGCAACAACGCCCACAGAAACGGTGACTCCTGGCGACTGGCTACGGGAGCTGGTGGCGGGGATCACGGGGGCCACGTCGCTGGTGGAAGGGGAGGTAAACGGAGTGCGTACCCGAATCCTGCTGGACACGGGGGCGGTGGCCTCGCTCGTGAGCGCAGCGCACTGCAGCGCGATCGGGGTCGACGTGCGTCACCTGCAGGCACCGGACCGCGCGCTGCACACGGCGAGCGGAGCCGGAATGGGGCTGCTGGGAAGAGCCACCCTAGAGGTCCGCATAGGCAGCCAGGTGTGCACGCAGGAGTTCTACGTGTCGAGTGCGTTGTGTCACGAGTGTATCGCAGGCACCGACCTCCTGGAACGGTTGGGACTCAACGTGCAACCCCGCCAGCGATGCGCCACCATGGAGAGCAACGGCGAGCGGATACCGTTCCTGGGACGAGAACCAACGCGCCGCCGCTTTGCACCTGTGGCCGCTATCCTGGCGACGGCAGTCACCATCGGCCCGCTCACCGAGATGCTGGTGCCGGTGGCAACATCCCCCACCGACCCCGCGCTCCGACCATCAGGGGAGGTAATGCTAACTCCTCACCCGGAGTTGGCAAAACGGTATGGGGTTGTGGGATCCGCCACGTTGGTAAACGCAGATGGGGACCGATTGTTTATGCGGATGTTTAACCCCCACAATACCCCAGCGATACTGCGACGGCGCACCCCGATAGCCACAGTACACCCCCTGCACGCACGCCACTCTAACGACTCGGTGTTCGCACTCTGGGCTGAGGACCCCGGTCGTCCTGAGGGTGAGCAGGACCTGGCCTGGCGAGTCGGCCCGACTCCCCGAGCCGAGGTCGTTCCCCTGCTCGACGCGTTACATGTACCATGGGCGGACTTACCTAAGGGAGAGGCCGATCGGCTGCGCGAGTTACTGCGGGAGTATGCTGACGTGTTCAGCGAACACGACTCGGACGTGGGTCGGACCGACCTTGTTAAGCATCAAATTGACACCGGTGCAGCCCGACCCATCAAACTCCCTGCGTACCGAGTGGGCGCACCCGAACGCGCCCAAATCAAAGAGGCAGTTGGGGACATGCTTCGCGATAACAT